CATCCCATATTGGAGTACCTGGTTCAAGTCCCGGCTACTCTACTTCTATTCCATCTTCCTGCTAATGGGTATCCTGCGAGGTACCAGATGATGGTTTAAATACCTGAGCTCCTGCCACTCACGTGACAGACCTAGATGAATTCCAAGGTCATGGTCCCAGCCTGGCTCAGCCCTGGCTGCTGTGGACATTTGGGGAATGAATCAGCAAATGAAGATCTCATTTGTGGTCTGTGTCTCTGTTGCCTGAAACCTCAGTCTCCCTTAAAGAAAGTTTAAGATTTCTGCTTCTAACAATCAAATCAATCTTTGATGGATACAAACTTTATATGTAAAACAAAAGCATTAACAACATGCCAAATACTAAGACGTTTACTCTTGGAGAAGTAGAGTTAGGTGTGATATTTTGTAGTATTTATAATTTTCCTTTCTTGCAAAGTTTTCAACAATCAGCACGTTATTACTTGGGGGGGGGGGGGAGAATTGTGAGTAAAAGACCCAATTCTGAATTCAGACAAACAAGGTGTGACTATAGAACCAGATCATTTCAAAGCCAGAAGTGATACGAAGTACATAAAACTCAGGGCATTTCAAATCCCCTGGAATTCTATGGAGGCACTTATAGAATCACCTTAGGGGTGACCATGAATCCTTCTTAACACCACTTCCACTTAGGACAGGGTCTTTAAGTGACAATTCATGCAAGGTGAACTACTCTTTAGACCCACCTAGGTCTCAAGCCAACTGTATGAGAGGACATATGCCCCACCGGGCCCGCGTACCTTCTTCACAAGCTTAGAATAAGAATCAAAGATTGACCTTCTTCAACAAGTGGCTGCAAACAGCAACTTCCCCATCCTCAAGGTCAGAGAAACAGAAAGTCAGTTTGCCAGGAGCATGAAGCATGAACAAGACCCGCCCTCCAAAAAAAGCAAAAGATCCTCCAGTACTGGGCCATTTTCTGAAGCTCCTCTAGCTTGGCGCCTTGAATAGCTTGAAATATGTTGGTATTCTTACCGCAAGTTGCTGTTTTCTGCTTGAGCTGACTTAGATTATATTCTGCTGTCTACAACTAGATACAAAGTACCCATTCAACCCCATTAGTCAATATAGTTCTATATTAGTGTTTTATTTACACAGGTGGAAAAGTTCCCCTTCTATAAAAGTACTGATTCAAGTACCTAAATTCCAATTTACAAATAAGAAAACCAAGGTCCAACTTCCCAAAGCAGAAGCCAGGGGTTCTTTCCACTGAAAAGGGGAATTTCTGGATAATCAACTTCCCGAATACAGGCTTTAGCAGGCCTTACCATATCTAGACACTGTTCCAAATGATTGACCAACATTAACTTACCTAATCCTCACAACAATGTCAGACACAGGTACTGTTATCTTGTTACAGAAGCGGTGAATGCCAGGCTTAGACAAGCTAAGTAACTTACCTAGTCACATGGGTTCAAACCTAGACAGCTCAGCTCCACAATCTAGATTCTTGATCACTATCCTAGTCTGTCTCTTTCAATAGGGATTTTAAAGGTCTCTTTCCTTGTTTGGAGAGGCAGGCAAATAAGAGAGAGGGAGACAGAGAAAGAGGGAACATTCCACATTCCCAGGGAAGCTGGACTAAAAATGCAGGCAGGGGGCTTGGCACCATAGCCTAGCAGCAAAAGTCCTTGCTTTGCATGAGCTGGGATGCCATATGGGTGCCAGTTCTAATCCCGGCCGACCTGCTTCCCAACCAGCTCCCTGCTTGTGGCCTGGGAAAGCAGTTGAGGACAGCCCAAAGCCTTGGGACCCTGTACCCACATGGAAGACTCAGAAGAGGCTCCGGGATCCTGGCTTCGGATTGGCTCGGCTCTGGCTGCCACGACTGCTTCGGGAATGAATCAACAGAAAAAAAGATCTTCCTCTCTGTCTCTCCTCCTCTCTGTATGTCTGCCTTTTCAATAAAAAAAATAAAATTAATCTAAGAAAAAATACAGCCAGGTCCAAATCAACAATACTCTAATAGAAGATACTGTCTCAACGGCTAGGCCAATCATTTGCTACCCATACCTCATTTTAAAAATGGCAAATATTCCACATTTCTTGCTCAGGGAAAACAAGGTAAAATTAAGTTGTCTTATGTTTCACCTGTGAGTATCTTTCTTTGGATCTTCTATGGAAGAATCTTCCCCATCCTCATCTGACACCCTTTTAAAGTGAGTGATTCTCTCTTTTTTTAAATAATTGCTTGAAAGGCAGAACGATAGAGGGGGAGAAACAGAAATCTCTCATCTATCGGTTCAACTCCCAAATGACCAAAACAGCTAAACCTAGGACTGTCTAAAGGCAGAAGCCAAGAACTCCATCCAGTTCTTCCAAACGGGTGACAGGATTCCAAGTACTTGGGCTATCCTCTGCCTTCCCACACGCATCAGCAAGAAGCTGGTTCAAAAGTGGAACACAAACTACTGTTCATATAGGATAGTGATAGCAGTTTAACCCACTGCAGCACAACACCAGCCCAAATCACTGATTTAATAAGAGGCTAACAGACAGACTGCCCATGTATACAGCAGTTCATAGCAGTGTATCAATATACTCTTGAGTTGGCAAGCTTTTTCCTATAGAGAGTGAATGATGTTTCTCACATTTTAATTAGTGATCCAGAAATCAAAAGAAGTACTTATGTTAGACTATGCAGTGGCATGTACTATGGGAAATGAAATTCAATGTAACTTCATTAATGATTCACATTTCTGCAGCACTTAAACTACTTAATAAGTGTTCTGCTTATTTGGTCAAAAAATATACTCACAGTGTGGCACAGTGGGTTAAATCACTGCCTGTAACACCAGCATTCCATAAGAGCACCGGTTGAAGTCCCAGCTGTTTCAATTCCAATTCAGCTTCTGCTAATGTGCTTGGAGAAATGGCAGAAGGGCCAACTGTCTGAGCCCCTGCATCCACGTGGTTGACCCAGCTAAAGCTTGGCTTCTCCCTGGCCCAGTCTTGGTCACTGAAACCAACTGGGGAGTGAACTAGCTGACGGAAGATCTCTGTCTCTCCTTCTCCCTCTCTCTGTAACTCTACCTTTCAAACAAATAATACATCTTAATTTACAAAACTGCAAATAATGTCTCAAAAGGATCCTCTTAGCTATTTTAAAATGTACTCAGGGCCAACTGTGTGACGCACTACTTAAAATACCCTCATTTCTTATGAGAATGGTGGTTCAAATCTCAGCTGTTCCACTTCCAATCCAACTTCCGGGCTAACGTGCCTGGGAAGGCAATAGCAGATGGCCCAAGTCTCTGGGATCCTGCCACTCATGTAGGAAATCAAGCTGGGATTCCTGGTTCCTAGATAGGGCTTGGCCCAGCCCTGGCTACTGTGGGCATGCGGGAACTGAGCAAGCAAATGGAAGATCTCTCATTGACTCTCTATTGTCATCACTCTATCAAACAAAGCTGTTTTTTTGGAAAATGCCGTTGGAGTGAGCATTCAGCCGAATGATTGAGACATCTTGGCCTCACATCAGAGCACTGGTTTAATCCCAGACTCTAGCTCCTGACTCCAAATTTCTGCTCATCTAGACACTCAGAGGCAGTGGTGATGGCTCAAATAACCAGGTCCCTGCCAGCCATGTGGGAGACCTGGATTGAATTCCCAGCTCCCAGACACAATCACTGCTGGCATCTGGGGAATGGATTTCTGGAGAGGAGCACGTGCACTCTCTCTCTCTCTCTAATACTTTTTAAAATATGCCTTAAACCACAACAACTTAATCCTATGCTTTTTGGTCTAATTCTATTCTGCCATATAGGTAACTCTGAATTAATAGGTCCATGTAAACACTAAATGCTTTTAACTGTCTTTTCCAAAGTCTTTGGGAACTCCTATAGTCTTCCAGAAAGGTAAAGGATTTTTCACATATCCATTCATTCAGCCAATAGGTATTTACCAAATGGAGCTATGTGCCACACTGGACCCCCCTGAGCTACTGAGCTACTGAGATTAATGCTTGGTCCTTCCCTAAACTGTCCCAATCGACAAACACTGGTTGGAGCCTATGTCTGACAAATAGCATTTATACCTAGATCTCAAAGGAAACTTCATGTTTACTGAGCTGTGTATGTAATAAACGTTGAGAAGACAAGCCAAACACAGAAGTTGTAGTATCACATAAAGAAAAACCTTCCATCCCAGTTTTCTCAGATAGAGATGAAAATGTTCATCTCCGCCGAAGACCCCAAACGCTTCTAAGCACAATTCGTTCAGATAATGCTTCTCTCGGACACAGAAAGGCCAAAAAGCTCTTGTGCTACTCGAAGGAACCTAAGAAATGTCAAGAAGGAGTAACATGCCATGGCCTTTGGAATAGGGAGCCAAGAAAACTGGACAACTTGGCACATTTACGAGCCAAAGGAATTTCCCTACATTCACCCTGACATGAGCTTTCGCGACAGTCAAGAAGCAACACTGACAAAATGACAGAAATGAGGCAAAAAGGAACGCTGAGATAGATAGGCACGTGACTCAGGCGGACTGGAATGCTCTTCAGAGTTACTGCGAATGACCCAAACAATCTCGCCTCCGGAGTTGCCTGTACACAAGGCTCGCTATTAACACTTCACACTGTCTGTCAGGGCCATTGTTCTCTTCTTGGAAAAGCCCCAAACATCCTGCCGACAGCTTACTCTGGGAACCACTAACCCTCTGAGTTGTTTTTTTTTTTTTTTTTTTCTGTGACTCTGGGATTTAAAAAAAAAAAAAATACACGAACATCAGCAAGTATTTAGGAGGGGCCTAGAGGCAACTTTTCACCCCTAGCCACAGCCCTAGATCCTCCCACGGGAACTGCCAATGGACCGCAGCCCGGCCCCACGGCGGAGGGGCGGCTGACCACGCCCGGATGCGCAATGGCTAAGGTCCAGGCCCGCCTGCCCTGCGGGGCCACAGGCTGTGTCCGGACCGCCCCGGGGCCGGAGCGCGGGAGCCTGGGTGCGGCCGGGCCTCACCTCCACCGCCTGGCCCAGCTCCAGGTCGAAGCCCACCACACACACGCAGTGCAGCCAAGCTGAGAAACCGTCCCAGCGCAGCAGGCCTCGACCGCGGCCATCGTCCTCTTCATCGTCCTCCACTGCGGCTCCCGCCGCCACCGGGGCCGACGCCTCGCGCCCGTCGGCCGCAGCCACCGTCGTCTCGTCCAACAGCCCGCGGGTGCCGGGCTCCAAGGCCGCCGGGCCCCGCAGAGCCATCCGCCTCCCCCTGGCTGTTCGCGCCGCCCTCCGCCGCTCACCGCGCTGCAGAGCGCGCTCGGCTCGGCGCAGGCGCAGCAGCCGCTGCCGCAGCCGCCCGGGACCCGCTCCGGCGGCGGGGCGGGGCCGCAGAGCACGTGACGACAGGCACCCCGCCACGGACGTCAGGCTGCCGCTGCTCTGCTGACGGAGAAACCCGGCCTGACCGAGCTGTGCAGGGCCGACGCGGTGCTGGACGGATCCCTGTCCCCCGCTGTCCCCAGTCCAGCCACCTCCAGGGGATGGCACCGCTTAGAATTATTAGCATAAAGTATTGCTAAAACATAAGCGTTATTCTGGCTACGGTTTACCGAGATGGTTTTTCTCTTCATTACCAGTTGATGTGCCAGGTAAAGATGGTGACAAATATTGAGTCCTCCCAGCATCGCAGGCAGGGAGACCTGATTGCGTTGTACAGTACTGAGAGGTGACGAAATCAGTAGAGCAGGGATGACAGTTCATGCAGTTGACTGACTCAGACACGTGTGCCTGCCCTCCACTACTTTGTCCTGACCAAGGCCCTTCCCTCCCTTCTGGGTCTGGCTATCTGTGACTCACTCAATGATCACAGACCTGCAGATCTTTCTGGAACTTCAGGCTGAGCAGGTAGATTGGCCTGCTGGATAATCTGGGGCTCTTGCTCACGTGAGCAGCTGGGCAAGGCAAGGGCCTGGCGAGGCTACTTTGTATCCTCAGACATGATCGCGGTACTGGGCGCCCGGGAGGCACTTGTTCTGCTGAGTTGGTTACTGATTCTGTGTACAACATGATAGGACTGGCTAGGATTTATTCAGCACTCACTGTTAATGTAAACAGCATGATGAAACTGAACATGAAATGAAGTAATATTTCAATAGGCAGATGCATAAAAAATTCCTGATAATAATGAATATTAAATGCACTATAAGGGCCTAGAAGGTTTGGTGGCTAAATCCTCACCGTGTAACTGCTGGGATCACACATAGGCACCGATTTGGCTCAGTTCCAGCTGTTGAAGTCACTTATAGAGTGAACCAGGATGGAAGATCATTTTTTTCTTATAAAGACAGAGAGGAAGATCTTCCATCTGATGATTCACTCCCCAAGTGACCACTACTGCCGGTGCTACGCCAATCCAAAGCCAGGAGACAAGAACTTCCTCCAGGTCTCCCACACAGGTGCAGGGTCCCAAGGCTTTGGGCCATCCTTGACTGCTTTCCCAGGCCACAAACAGGGAGCTGGATGGGAAGTGGAGCTGCTGGGATTAGAACCAGCACCCAAATGGGATCCTGGTGTGTGCAAGGCAAGGACTTTTGCTGCTAGGCTATTGCGCTGGGCCCATGCTCACGCTTTTATACTTACTAACATACCTAGTTCTTCCAACAGTGCCTAAAGGCAGGTCCCAATATTGTTCCCATTTTACAGAGAAAGAAACTGAGTAGCCATTGAATTAGCATGTCACAACAATACACAACAGACCTTTAATTTGTATTTATTTTTTAAAAGATTTATTTATTTTTATTGGAAAGGCAGATGTACAGAAAGGAGAGACAGAGAGGAAGATCTTCCGTCCGATGATTCACTCCCCAAGTGGCTGTAACCATTGGTGCTATGCCGATCCGAAGCCAGGAGCCAGGAACTTCCTTCAGGTCTCCCATACAGGTGCAGGATCCCAAGGCTTTGGGCTGTCCTCGACTGCTTTCCCAGGCCACAAGCAGGGAGCTGGATGGGAAGTGGGGTCGCTGGGATTAGAACTGGCATCCATATGGGATCCCAGCACGTTGAAGGCGAGAATTTTAACCATTATGCAGTCGCGCCGGGGCCCAATTTGTATTTATTTAGGAGCCAGAGAGACAGAGCTCCCCCCATCTCATCCAGTGATTGACTCCCCCACTGCCTAAGACCAAGGGGAAGCCAGGAGCTGGCATCTCTAGCCAGGTCTCACAAGTGGGTGGCAAGAGCTCAACAATTTGACTTCTCACCGTGGCCTCCTTAGGGTCTGGGTTGGCAGGAGCCAGCACCAAGTATTAAAGCCAGGAGGGACACAGGCCCAACGGCTGGGCTAAAAGTCTACACTGAGAACATACACTTAAACCCAGATCTTTGTAACAGCCTGAGCCCAAACCTACTTCACAAACTCTATCCTCACCAAAGCCCTGGGCTGCTTGTCTGGAGTAAGCCCTAACACCTCTGCTTTGAGAGCAGTGAGATATTCCCAGACATCGAAAGTAACGCCTGTTAGAACCTTACTTTAGAACAAAAGATGAACAAGAGATGTTACTGAAGTGTGAGGTCAAGCTTTAGGCCAAAGCAACCACCCACCATCTTACTGCAGAGCACCGCTATAGTGAAAAAAGAAGCTATATCTTGCATTCAAGTCCCTAAACCAACTACTGAAAAACAGAACAAAACCAGGAGCCTTTTGTATTAGAAAAAAAAAAAAAAAACACTGGTGTACAAATAAAAAAGCCTGAGTCCTAATACTAGACCCATCCATGATCATGGTAAGGCCAGCTACTCCAAGACCCAGTTTCTGCACTGGTAAACAGGACTAGTTATTGCTAACTCATCTCACTGACTGTTGGGGTGAGGCAAGCTATCCAAATGCACACATTTTTCTGGTTTCTACTTCGTTATTAATCATGAGGGAGCACTAATCCCCCATATGGTTTCACCTGTTCTTTCACACATGGACAGCCAAACTGCCATTCTCAGATACTGCCGTATGGTTAAGGGTTGCTATGGTGTGGATTTTAGTTCATACTTTCTCAAAGGCCCAAGGGTTAAAGGCTTGATCCCCATCCGCTTATGTTAATGGTTAATAGACTGATGTTAATGGTTAATGGATTAAGGGTGGAAACCTAATCCAATTATGGTGTCCAATTAAGGTGGGGCCCTGGTTAGCGATTAGATTGGATCAGCTTGTTGGGTGGAGCGCGTGATTGAATCCCGATGCCTTTATAAAGAAAGACCACACAGGCTGCTGACAAGCATGCTCTCCCACTGCTTCCTGGCTCGTCATGTGATCACTTTGTATATGTTGTGCTGCTGCCATCCTCCAGTCTCATCAGACAGCTGGACCAATGAGACTGGCCTGATATTGAACTCTGAACCCCCCAAACCTTAAGACAAAATAAACCTTTCCCTGTGTAAGTGGCCTGTGCCTGGCGTTTAATGAAAACCTGATTAACAAACTTAAGTGCCCTGAAAATAACTTATTAAGAGGGCCAATCCTGGCGCAGCAGCTTAGTGGCTGAAGTCCTCACCTTGCCTATCCCGGGATCTCCTATGGACGTTGGCTCATGTCCCAGTTGCTCCACTTTTCATCCAGCTCCCTGATTGTGGCCTAGGAGAGCAGTTGAGGACGACCCAGGGTTTGGGGATCCTCTACCTGCATGGGAGACCCAGAAGAAGCTCCTCGCTCCTGGCTTCGGATTGGCTCAGCTCTGGCTGTTGTGGCCACTTGTGGAGTGAACTAGCAATTGGAAGAAGTTTCCCTCTGTTTCTCCTTCTCTCTGTAAATCTGACTTTCTAATAAAAATAAATAAATCTGTATAAGAAAAAAAAAAGGCCAAAATTTTCATGAGGAAAAATGTTTGCCAAGGATCTAGTGAATTTTTTATGGAAAAAAAATTAGTCTGTTTTGAACAATTTTTTTAGAAGGCACACGCATACTACCTATTAAACCTTTCTAAATGGAATAGTAGTAATGGGATCTGAGAAAATAAGTACTGACTGCTTCCAACTTTAGGTTTGCCATTAGGATCTTAAATCGGGACATCTCTCCAAACTTGCTGTCCTATACATGAATCCTCTGGTTTTCAGCCAGCCAGCCTCTTTTCTAACACCCCTAATAAAATTAACTTGTTATCTTTCAGAGCTGGCATTTTCTAGATGCTCATGGGCTAGAAAACCTTTCCCTTTATGGAGACAAGATCAGCCATGTTGTAACATATACCACTGATCTAAATTGTACTCACTGAGATTACACAAAAGGTTCCAACGCCTCTACATGATAGCCCTGTGAACGTTCCAAAACAGTCATCCCATACCCCCATCTGTGTCTTCTGGTTTCCAGATCCTACAACTGTTCCTCAAAAGATGTAGTTTCTAGGCTATTCATCATCCTGTTGCTCAACTTGGGCATCCTCCAGCTTGCCAACGTCACTCTTCAAATGCAGAAGGAAATACCATCCACCAGGTGTGATCTGGGCCACTCCAGGTTGTACTCTGGGACTATTATCCTCTTTGTCCCAGCCACCAACCTTCTGTTAATGCCAGTTCAGATCACATTTGCTTGTTTTGGCAGCCAAGTCACATCCCTGGCTCAGGTTACATTTACTGTCAACTAAAGCTCCGGTCTTTTTTCATGTGAGGAGCACTTAAGTCAGGGTAGGCTGCTTCAGCCAAGTGCGTGACTGCATCCGTGGGCTCTGCTGCTCTTCTAATATTACCGACTAGCCTGAACACAGGATTAAAAACATTCCAAACTTCCTTACTCACCCATCAGCACACTCTTGATATTTCAGGGAGAAAGAAAGAAAGAAAGAAAGAAAGAAAGAAAGAAAGAAAGAAAGAAAGAAAGAGCGAGCGAGCACAAGTACAGAAATACAGTGGCATCCACCATATGAAGTCTCTCTGATTAACTTTACCAAAAATACCTGCAGGGAATCCAAATGACCTACATAACCCACATAACCTAGTTGGGCAATTAGAGGAATTCCCTCTTACATCTGTGCCAAATATTACCAGGGTTACTGAGGCGTAACTATAATGCAGTGGCAAGAAAATACATACTCCAGCTATAGGAAACTGCCTAGGTTGCCTCGTACCTAGGCAAATGTTACAGTGCTGGGAGAAAAGCAGCCAATAGCTGGTGGGCATTCTGGCCTGGTTGATGTCAAATCTGTGTTAATTATATCAGTGCGGCAGCATAGTAGCCTATTCCTATTTTTATTTGTATTAATATTTTTAAAAGATATGTGAGGAAGCTTCCTTCTACCAGGCACCTAGG